AATAAATAGCCAACAGAGGACTTGAAACTAAAATTCCTCCTTCCTCTGACACCCGCCATATAAACAATAATAATTATATAAAACCGTGTCTAACACATGACTACACAAGGCTCTGGTGACCAAGAAAAGCACACGCTGCTTGTCAGACATAATTGCACATTTGGTTTTTCAATTATTTCTTGTCAAGATCCAGAGCCCACCATCTGAACGCTGACATTAATTATTGGGAAGTAGTTAGTTTTACAATGGCATTATGGAGGCTCCCAACACTCACCCCGAGCCTGAGGCTCCCAGTGCTGTTCCCACACTGCCCTGCCATCCCACCAACCCCTCCAGGACTGTCACACACACTCACACCACTGGAGGACACCCAATCTGGTCCACCATGTGCAGAAGGGGTTTCTGAAGAAGCTTCAAGAAACTCTCCAGTGAACATGAGCAAGGGAAGTGATCCCCAGCCGTGTGCTCACCCACGGGATGGGGCCAGACCGTGTCCATGCTGGGCCCTCAACACAGGAACGACATGGAGCTGTTGGAACGAGTCCAGAGGAGGCCACTGAGCTGATCACAAGCCTGGAGCCCCTCTGCTCTGGAGCCAGGCTGGGAGAGCTGGGGGGTTCACCTGGAGAAGAGAAGGTTCCAGGGAGACCTCAGAGCTTCTTACAGTGCCTAAAGCAGCTCTGGGAGAGCTGGAGAGGGACTGGGGACAAGGGATGGAGGGATAGGACAAGGGGGAATGGCTTCCCACTGTGTCCTAGTTAGGACAGCTGAGACCAGTCCATCACTGGATGGGTGTAACCCAAAACTGTGTATTCTATAGCCTTCCATGCCATTTCCCAGAAACTGTTATCAATGAACCATTTACACCATCTGCACATAGAGCCTGACTCCTCAGGTATAAACTAGGTGCTAAGAGGCCTGTGAGATGGGAGTTGCTCTTGTCCTCACGCCCATTAAGGAACCCCCTGCCCTGAGGGAGGTACTGAGCATTCCTGCCTGAACTGGAGGATATATAATCTTGGAGTCTTGGGACCTTTTTAACCACTCGTGGGATCCAGAGGAAGACTGCAGATCACCGCTCTCAACCAGACTGCAGACCACTCTCGACTGGACTGCAACAGCACTCTCACCAACAGGTTTTCCCCCTTTCCCTTTACTTTGGACTCAGGGGGCCCAAGGAACACCACTCTGTTCATGCCCCAGGGTGCTGGGTTACACATTTGGGTTTTGTGGGTTAAAACCAATTGTTTGTCTGTATAATTGTACTTACTGTATTATTTTATTAAATTGTTATTCTGACTTATAATCTCTCTTTTGGGTTGAGTTCATTTTCCCCTGCTGGTTTACCTTTAAACCAGCACACACTGCCAGAGGGCAGGGTTACTGCCCATCCCAGGTGGGATACTGGGAAGAAATCCCTGTGAGGGTGGGGAGGCCCTGGCCCAGGTTGCCCAGAGAAGCTGTGGCTGCCCCATCCCTGGAAGTGTCCAAGGCCAGGCTGGACAGGGCTTGGAGCAACCTGGGCTAGTGGAAGGTGTCCCTGCCCATGGCAGGGGGGTGGAATGAGACAATCTTTAAGGTCTCTTCCCACCCAAACCCTCCTGTGATTCCATGAATTTCAGAGTCCATGTCACCGACTGATCCATCTTCCAGCTGAGTCCCCTTCAAGCCCCCCTGAGCACCCGACTCTTGGCATCACACTCCAACAGATCAGTGCCCATCATGCAAGGAAAAATCCTGCCTTTTATTGGCTTTTAATTTGCTGCCTTTTAATATTGTTGACTGTCTCTTTTTTCCTTGCAAAAGGAAGAAAGAAGCCTCTGATCTACCTTTTCTGGAGTGTTCAAAAACATGCACAGCTTTGTCATGTTGTCTCTTAGTTGTCATCTTCTCCAAGGCAAACAGCTCTTCCTGCTCCCTTAAAGGAAGGGCTTTTTTCTATGCTCCTAAGAATTCTCTTCACTTTTAAAATTTCCCATTACTGAGCATTCAGTGAGGTGGAGGAACCACACAAAGTTAATCAGGGAGGAGAACAGCCACCACGAACTCTCAGCTGCACACAGTGACCCAGGTCCTTCCAAAGGCAAAACCAGGCGCAGCAGAGCTGGGGGTGGTGAGATCATAAACCCCTGTGCCTCCAGAGCCATCAGCATTTACTTGAAACAGAATAAAATCAATTCAGTACAACAAAAAATAAAAATAGGATCGACTCAGTACTATGGTCACCACTTAAGATCAAGCATGGTATAGTAAAAAAAACTAGCTGCAAAAAGATAGTCCTGGCAACTTTATTTTGATTATAGTATTATATTATATTTTTACTGATAATAATTGATAAAAGTCCTGGCAACTTTATTTTAATTTTGTTCTATTCTATTCTATTCTTATATTTTTACTGATATTAATTGTTAAAAGTTTCCTCAATAGTTAGCAATTAGAGAGGGTTTCAAGCAACAACAACTCTGGAAAATATCTCCATCCACTGACAACCTCACAAATTTAGTCAAAGCCACATTTCAACCTTCAACCACTGATAGAGCTTTCTTGAAATATTACATTTTGATGCTGTTCTATTATTTTTAAACAGAATTGGTCATTTTCCTTTCTTTGACCACCTTTTGTTCAGTCAGAGAGATGACAAAGTGGATTTTGCTTCCACTTTTGTCCAAGTGAAAAGCAGTGACCAGCCCCACACTCCCCTGTGCGTACACAGGAACAGGGATAAGGGCAGGAATTTATCCCACGCTGCTGGGAGCTCCATCCCTGCCCTTGGGAAGGGCATTGCTCACACCAGGAGGGGGCTCAGGTGCTCAGCCCCAAGGGCACCCCTGGGCAGGGAGGACACCCACAGGGGCCCCCTGAGGGATCAGCTGCCACAGGGGGGATGAACTCACCCCCTGCTCTGCAAGACCCTCTGGTGAGAGCTGCAAAACTGAGTTGGAGTGGGAACAAAGAATGCAGGGGAAGGCAGCAATGCCTGGCTCCTCAGCCTGTGCTTTCCTTCCAGCACTTTGTTCAGGCTGATTCCCAGCATCCTAAGAGCCAGCACTGCTGGACCACCCTCAGGAGTCCCCCCCAAACTGGGGAAGGGAGCTTTTCCTCTGTGACAGACACCCAGTGCTCCCCAGAGGTGTTCAATGCCAGGCAGTGCCAGGAATGAGGGTGTTTCATCCTGACACACCACTGGCAGAGCCAGGGCAGTGGGCAGGGACCAGCCACCACGGTGGGAACACTCGAACCAGGCAGGGACTGAGCATGTTCAGCAGCAGGAGGCAGGGAGAGGATCCACACCCAGAGTCTGGAGATCAGAACAGAGCAGGCTTTTAACGTGGGAGGACCTGTTCCACCTGAGGAATAAAATTTCTGCAGGGCTTTCAAGTCCCTGGAGCGGACAGGAGGGTGGTCCAGCATGTGGTCACTGGAGAGATGGTGTCACTGGAGATACAAAGGGGAGGACACAAGGTGCACTTGAGCTGAAGGAGGTTGGGAGAGCTGAGAGGAGCACTGGTGCTCACTGGTGCTCACTGGTGCTCAGTGGTACTCACTGGTGCTCAGTGGTGCTCAGTGGTGCTCAGTGGTGCTCACTGGTGCTCACTGGTGCCCACTGGTGCTCACTGGTGCTCAGTGGTACTCACTGGTGCTCACTGGAGCTCACTGGTGCTCCTGCTGTGCTGCCAAGGGCAGTGGGCCCCCAGGGAGAAGCCTCGTGTCCCCCCAGGGGCAGCTCCACAAACACTGGTGCCCTGCCCTGGGTAGGGGAGCAGTGCCAAGCCCAGCAGTGGTGACTGGCAAACCTGGTCTGGGTGGCCCAGGGTTGGTCCTGCTCCCCACAGCTCACACTGATGCACACACAGGGCTCCTGCCACCCCGTCCTGGTGCCACCTCCTGTGTCCCCGAGGGCTGCCCGTGCCCCTCGTGAGAGAAGGGCAGGAGATGTTCTGGAGATGATGCCAGGATGGGGTGCAGCCCCCCCCCCACACACAGCAGCCTGAGTGGCTCTGGTTTGCTGTTGTCCATTGCCCCCCTTCCACGCTGATGTGACCCACAAACACACCCTGAGTGCTCAGCACCCCCCACAGCTGTGCCCACCCCACCACAGGATGGCACCTCTGATTGTCCTGCCATCTTCTCCAGCTCTTACATTTCCATGCTTCCTTGCAGCCACTCTCCTTCCCAGGTGACACACTCCCCTCCCTGATGCTTCCTCAGTCTTGTTCCAGCATCTCTCATGTCCTGCCTGTTTTTACCACAAAACCTGTTAAACCTGGGAGCTCAGTTTGCCACTTGGCTTGTGGATGGCAGATAACTGGATTGGCTTCGAGCACTCATGAGACCAGGTAAATCCCACTGCCACCAAAGCCACACTTTGCCCTCAGCTCCCACCACTGCCCCAGTGGAAACCCAACCAGAAGGAATTTGTGCCTGGCCAAGGAAGGAAAGGTGCCCCTTCTTCCACACTTTCACAGCATGGGACTGACTCCATCGAGTAAGAGATGGAGAGGGACAAAGCAGCACCATCTCCAGAGTATCCCAGCAAGGTAAGACATCCCACAGTATCAGTGGGAGATGGAAAAGCCACAGCACAGGGCAGACCCAGCTTAGCATGTCCCTCTCCAGGACTGGGAGCAGCAGAGATGCCCCTTAGCAGGATCAGAGGGGGCTGGGGTGGTGGGACAGCCCTCTCCTCTCCCCCTACATGGGAGCAGGAGGGTCCACACCCAACCACACACGGCCCAAGGGCTCCATCCAAGAGCCTCATCGTGCCATGGCCTGTGCACGCAGCTGTGCCACCTCACACCATACACAAACCTCTTCTTGCAGCCCCCCAGCCAGAACAATCCCTCCTACACTCATGTTCAGTGAAACCCAAAAATGGCTGTATGGATGCTGAGCTCTGACAGCTCCCACTCATGCCTGTCCTGCAGTCACCCTTCACCACCCCCAGCTCCGAGATGGACAACCACATCCAAGCAAAGCCCAGCAGAGAAAACCATCCCTACCTGCTGGAGGAGCTCCTCTGCCCACTGCTGTTGCTCTCGTCGGCCTAAGACATCAAAAAAGAAAGGTTGTTTAAGTTGAGAAGGACAAGGCTGCTCTGCAGAAGCTTCCAGCTCCAGGCTGCACCCAAACACTGGAGGTTTTCCATGCTGAGTTACACACACCTTGGCACTGGTGGGACCCATTGGGCCCTTACCCTGGAATGTGGGAGACTGGGGCAGGATTTCAGCCCCAGCCCCACCATGGAGGCTCCCCCTGGGGCAGTTCCCTCCGGTCGCTCTTGTGCAACCAAAGTCTAACAGAATGATCCCTCCTGTTTAAAACATGCCATTGGCAGGTGGGAAATAAGGCAGAAACAGCCAAATTCCAGGCTGTGTCCGAGTCCTGGGCTGGAGGGGCAGCCCGGCCACCTCCCTTCGTTAGGAACCCATGTCCTAATGATGTCCTAATGAGCCTCTCCAGGCCACAAGGGCTGAGCAGGGAGGGCTCAGGGTCTCCTCCTGCCTCCTTCCCCGGCTCACTGATGAGCCTTCCTCGGAAAGACAATATTATTCCAAACCCAGAAATTTTATTTCTGAATTTGTGCAAATACAAGTTAAAAGATATTAGCTGCATTTCACATTTTGTGCAAATGGCAGAAACAGGCAATTCATGTGCAGCAGGATGGGGGCCAGCCAACGATTTCGATAAAATAAACCCTTTTTTAATTTAAATGCTAATGCACTGAATTAAAATTTAATAACTGAGGAAATTGAAAAGCCGAGCAGGAATATTGGAAATAAATCCAAGCAGAAACAGCTGAAATTAAAAATTCTAGAGAGTGGGAGGATAGCAGCTAAGCTGTCTTATATGATTACATTTTTTTTATTTTTTTTTTTTTCAGAACGAAGGGGGGAAGGAAAAAAATCCTATCTTTGGCTGGCTGTAGGGCAGTAAATCGAGAGTGCTGTGATTTATTGCTCAATTTTCCTGAGGGAAAAAGGCTTTCTTTCATGCTGAAATATTTCATAAATTTCAAGCCAGCATAAATTCTTAATTTAAAAGTTATGGAGGTCACATTTAGTGCACTGGTGCAATTCTGAAATCTTAAAGGAATAGCAACCAAAAAATTGCAATTTGATTTTATTTTTTTTAATTCTTCATGTAAAATTTTCTTCAAAGGGATTCTCCGAGTTACACAAAGCAGAAACATGTCCTGGCTTCTGAAAGGATATGAAATCCACTGGAAATGAAGAGATAAAAATCTAATTCAATTACAAAAAGGTATTTTTTTATTATTATGATGATGATTATTATTATTTTGAGCCACTTGAGGAATTTCTGTTAAAAAATTTCCTCCCTCCATTGCCTGGGAAAAGCCAGAAGGGAGGAGCTGACAATGTAATTGCTTCTGTTAGATCTCCAATCTTTTGTGAGCACTGATATGTTCATTTGTTATACAGCTGTTCAGCTACAGAAAGGATGTCAGAGCACCCATAATTCAAAGCAATCAATCAAAAATTAATGATTTGTCATGCTTACACAATGGAAAAAAAAAAAGCTTTATGGGTTCCTGCAACTGGTAGATTGCTCAAACCTTCGGGGCATTTTCTAGAAGATTAGATCTGTGTGTACAAAAAAAGGGGGGAAAAAAGGGGAGAAAGGAGACTTTATAGAGTCAGGGCAGAAACCTTGTGGGGTGTTGGGGCCTCGGAATCCCCCAGAGATGGAGCACATTACAATTCCTGTCTGTGTAGAGTTTGTGCACAACCCAACCTTGCAGGTCACCCAGAGCCACATGCCCGATCACAGGGACCTTGTCCAGGCTCCTGCCATTAAAATTCCATGGGAAAACAACCTGCCAAATCATAGAACCATGGAACATCTTGAGCTGGAATCCCATCCAGTCCAGCTCCTGGCCCTGCACAGACACCCCAATAATTCTCGAGAGCGTTGTCCAAACCCTCCTGGAGCTCTGGCAGCCTTGGTGCTGTGCCACTGCCCTGGGGAGCCTGGTCAGTGCCAACCACCCTCTGGGTCACCAGGCCCAGTGCTCATGGAAGGCACCAAATCCTGAGGACAAAGCCCAAGGCACAGCCTGGGCCCTGCCTGAACACCCCACGGCACCTCACCACTAAATATTCCCAAAAATGAAAATATTCCTGTTTGGGAAGCACAGAGCCAACCTCAACTTTGGAAAACTCTCTGAGATTGCAAAGTCATTCATCCTCCACATAAGCAAGCCTCTCTCCCCACACACACTGATGTTGGGTGCCCCCCTGCAGGGGTCCCAGTCCCCTGCCCAGCCCAGCCCCTCTCCATGCCGTGTTCCAAGCCTGGTCACACACCCATGTTGGCTGTGCCTCGGGGGGCATTCACCTCTCACCCCAACCCCACCGTGCATGGCATCCATTTCATGGTCCTTTTCAGATCTGCATTTGGGGTTGAGAGAATGAATTGATGGAAATAAGTGAGGTGGGGACCCCGACCACCCCCCACCCACTGCACGGCCCCTTCTGGGGCCAGCACACGATTTTATTACTTACTTCTATTTTTGCTTACCTTCCCCAGTCTGCCCTGCCTGACTTATCTTCTCTGCCTTTTTTATTATTATTTACAATGCCATTTTTTTGCTTTTTGACCTCTTTCCATCAGCAATTCATGGACTCTGCTCTCTCAGGACACGGCACAGACCAGTGCAAAGGACACGACCTGCAGGAAGGGCACAGCAAGGGAGGTACAACAGTGACCCCCCCAGTGCTGGGGAGTTTCCTCAGCAGCAAAGCCGAGGAAAACCTTTTTTATAAGAAAAAGAGGGAAAAAAGGCACTCAGTCTAGATGGTTTCCCACATCCAAGATGCTCCTGAAGATGATCCATTAGACCTGAACACTGAGCTAAGTCTGCATGAGATCAGATCTACCTGTCTTAAAGGTTTCTGGATGCTGAAATAAGCCCATCCATAGAATCCCAGACTGGTTTGGGTTGGAAGGGACCTTGCAGATCACCCTGCCCCAGCCTCCACTAAATTTTGACCCTCTGCAGGATGTTATCCCAGCACAGTCTTCAAAAGATTAACCAGTCCAGCACCAAACCTGCACCTGTACATTGTAATGGTCTCCTGGTAAAACAGGCCATGGATCAGTCTCAAACCCAGGATCTCCCCTCCTCTCACCCTTTGCTGCAGCAGACAGAGCTTTTGTCAAGATTTGGTGTGGCCTATTTAAGGTGTGAAAACAAAACACAGGAAAAAGTGTCAGTGATCCAGTAGCAGATGGGGCAAGTTCTGCATGGAAATATGGTTTACTTGAGTTTTCTACTCTAGAACGTGATTATGTATTCAAGGTTTAAGTTCTCCATGGATGTGGAAAGACATTCTCACCAAAAGTGCCACCAGGATACACCTTCACACACTCTCCAGTTTCCAAACATGCAATTGTCTGCCAATTTTTTTACAAACAGCTCAGTTTAGTTCAGCACCTCTGCAGTGCCCAGTGCAGCAAACCCCAGCCCATCCTAAGGCTGCAGGATGATTTAATCCCAGATCTCCAGCACCTGTGGTGCTTGAGAGCACATGTCCATCCAAAGCATGGGAAGATCATTTCCTCTGATTGTACATGGTATGTGCAGGTGGAAAAGCCCAGTAAGGAAGCAAAGGGCCAGGGTATTCTCCTCAAACTTTGTAAAATAAACACAATCACAAGTTTAATACCTAGGAAATATTTCAGCCAAGTGAGTATGGGCTGATCCATGTGAGCCATCTGCTGTCCCTCAGCTCTCTGTGCAAACAGGCAGCAATGCCCTGGACTCCACTGGGTGTCTCTGACCCTCAGCAGTCACAGAGCAAATCTCAGAAATCATCTGGAAACCAAAGACTCCGGCCTGGGGTCGGTGGCAGTGACACTGGTGCAGGGTTGGTGCAGGACCAGCCATCACCCCTGGTGGAATTCCTCAGTGCAGCCTGGGCCAGGGGCACCTCAGTGTTCAGCAGAACATCCCCAAGCCATGGTGGCACCACCCCATCCTCTAGGCCACCACCCCACCTGAAAGGCCACCTCCTCATCCCCCAGGCTCCACTTGGGCTTTCCTTCAGCACAGGGAAAAACTGGGAGATGTGCACACATGTCTTTGAAAATCTGGCTGAAATAAGCTTTGTCCATTTATTTTGCAGGAATTTGTGACTCCAGTGTTGAGGGTTGCTGGTGCCTTTTGCAGGCCATGCTAATTATCACAGAATCCCAAACTAGTTTGGATTGTAAGGGACCTTAAAGATCATTCTGTTCCACCCCCTTCCACGAGCCCAGGTTGCTCCAACCTGGCCTTGCACGCTTCCAGGGATGGGGCAGCCACAGCTTCTCTGGGCAACCTGTGCCAGGGCCTCCCCACCCTCACAGGGAACAATTTCTTCCCAATATCCCATCTCACCCTGCCCTCTGGCAGTGGGAAGCCATTCCCCCTTGTCCTGTCCCTCCATCCCTTGCCCCAGGTTCCTCTCCAGCTCTCTTGAAGCATAAGCAAGTCAAAGGGGTGAATGGCTGAAATCACCATTTAACCAGGATGTGCTGAAATGGGGCAGAGCAACTTCCAACAAAGTAACATCTTTGGGAAGGGGGAACAGAAATCTCCTGTGCTCCCATTTACTCAAGTAATTATTTAGAGAAATTCTTCATTCCTAGTTGGAAAAGCAGAGGAGTAGACTTTGCATCTGCCAGTGAGGGAGGAGGCCAGACAGGGGGCACTGAAACACAGGTTGGAGAATCAGTCACATAATCTCCCCCATAAAATCATTTACAATTTAAAATATGATTCCTGAAGTTGCTTTTGTACATACTGGCTACATTTAAGGTAGTTTTGTTTAACTAATGCTAATAAATATCTTTTAAATTAAAATGCTCGAGAGCAGAATGTGGTTTCGGGCCATATGCTCCTGACTCGAGTCAAAAGCGAGAAGCAAATCATGTGATAAATAAGAAATGTATCAGTCAACATCTCCTAGTAGAATAAAGTGTCAAAAAATGGGGTCCAAGCAGATGTACAAGTGACCCGAGCAGTCCGTGTTTATCAAGAG